ATGGATTTGGAGGATGGTGAACTCCTATTTCTGAGACCTATCCTGACTCCTCGCTGTGTATCCCATATTAGACAGAAGGCGGCCCGGTTAGTATGCATCCCACCAACGAAGTGGAGTGCGTGGAATGTTTAATGTTCCTCAGTAAAGAGTTTCCTCCAACCATTGGCTGTTTTGCTCAGAAGCCAAGTTTAGGTCCTGGATCATGGGGACTTTTCATTCAGCAAGTGGTAGCTAATTGAGGTGAACTGAGGGCATTGAGACTATTGCCATTTCTCACTTGTGCATCGTTTGACTGGAGTTTTGAAAGGGAAATGAGATGACGGTCCCATTTTTGTTTTAGTAGAAGAGAAACCTTTTTTAAACGAAATTTTTTTTCGAAATTTTTTGCAGGTCACTGAGACTTTGTACAGAAGGCCACAATTAGTGGCAATTGCAGGCTCTTGGACAAGTGTCGCATCTGTTACAGATTGCCATACCTACGTCTGTTCGCTGGATGGTTCCCCCACAGCGTGGTGATGAGCCAGAGATTTCGGGGCATTGGCGGGATTGATTCCTGGTCTCAGACCGCAGCCGGGCCAAAGGGCAAAACGGGCTGAGACGTACAATTGGCCTTGTGTTTCCCTGATCGGGGTGGAGGACAGGTGCCGGAGGGTGTGATCACGTCCAGACGTGGTCTACCCTCCACCGCGTGGGAATTTCTCCCCACTTCCCCACCTGGCGCCACCCTTCAACGCTCCGGACGCCCAGCCCCAAAAAAGCAACAGAAGGCAGGCATGGAGCCATGCGTCAGCTTTACTGTGAAAGGCTTGGAGAAACGCAGCGTGATCTGACCCCTACAAGGGGAGTGAGGGTGGGTGGTCTGCACGCCGAGGTGCTGGGAACGTGGGTGCATTCTGCCCGCGGTGCCCAGCTGAGTTGGCGTATTCTTCCTCTGGTACAGGGAGTAAGGCCAGCTTCTCTCAGAGCAACCTTCCACCCTTCACTGCCTTCATGGGGATTTATTTGTACACTTTTCTAACAACGTCGCCCCGTTTGGGTGTGACGATGGATCGCTTGGGACCATCCGAATTTTTGAGTATTTTAAATGTGAAGAACGAAAGAGACTCCTACCTGGACCGTGACAAGAATATTGGGACATTGTGGTCTAGTATGTGCATGAAGGTTCCTTGCATGGTGCATCGCGATGATGCAGATCAATGGTGCATGCTGAAGGTCATTTCAGACACTTTTTAAACTGTGTTCAAACCGTTGTCTATGAAGATCAGTTCCAATGTATTTTATAATGGAGGTTCAGTCTTCATTCCTCTAATGGGCTACCAAACTAATTTTTAAGCTGGTTGCTGTGAAATGTTTCTTTTCTCCCTGTGTGTTTCTTGTAATGTAAGTGATTGTTTTTACCTGTTTTTTTGCCACAGTGTTTGTACAACATGTTGGTCACGTCTTAAAATATTTGCAATAAAAGCCCAACATTTGGGAGGGAAGTCTTGGAGAGTGCATTTGTCGAAGTGAATGTAACAATGATGGGATCTTCTTGGATCAGTGCTGTTTCTGTTTGATGATAACACCAACATTTACACCTTGAACCACACCCCAACACGGGTCATATGTTTGCGGGATCTTGCTGTGTGCAAACTGGATACCATGTTCCCCACACTCTCAAACTGGCATATGTTCAAAAGTGTGTCATTAGTGTTATGGACCAGACCAAAACCCCCTCAAAATATATTAAGAAGGTAGCCTAGACCCTAACTTTTTCATATTTTTAAAGGTAAATGTCAGGTGGAATTCAATTGGCCAAACTACTTGACATTAAGCAAAACAGTTTATTTCAAACATTATAGTTAAAATATGACAAAAGAAAGAAGAATTTGGGATAACAACTTGGTTGCAAATCTTAACAGTGTAACTATTACTAATTAACTGTTGCAACAGAGTAACATCTCATAAACACACCCTTGGCAAAAGGCAAATTGAGAATGCAGATTTTGTCTGACATGCAATCTAGCAGCCCAGGAGGATAAACCCACAACTTTTGGAAAAATAGCTCCCGCTTCTTCAAGCCCACAACAGCAACTGCTGAAAGCAAAAACCTAAATATTGCTGGTGCTGCGGGTGGGAGTTTGACCACACCTGTTCAGGCTGCTTCTATTGTTCCAACTTTTATATATAAAAAAAAAATCCAAGGCTTCACAAGTTGTTTATCTCCTCAGCACTGAAACCCCAATCTCTCTCTAAAAGAAACCAGGACAAAAAACACCTCTTAAAGCCACAGAATTGTCACTTTGCTTGTGAAGAGCTTTGAGGCGGACCCAAGCTTATGGAAGTTGCTACTTAAGTCTTAGGGTTGAATCTAGCTAAGTGTCAGTTCCATTGAGTTTGATGGAGGGTTTTCTTGCTGAGATGGCCTAGTGAGTTCCCACTGAATCTCACCATGCTCACCTCATTAACTACTTACCGGGCCCTGTGGTCTCCCTCTTGTCTGATTTGAGCCCCATCTTCCCGCCTCAGCTCACCATCCACCACCACCCCCCCAACCCCTGCTGGGATCGACTACTATCGTTGGTGTTGACACCATCTTTAAAAGGCTGTTTCATGCCCAGACCAGCTCTGTCAGTCTGGAGCTGCCTGGCACAGTCCCTAATACTTGCACCCCAGACATGGCAGAGAGGGGAACATTAGTTCTCTGCCTTGAGAGCAGGGTCCTGGAGGTCCTGCTGGATGAGGTGGTACAGATAATGTGACACCCTCTTCCCCTCCGACCAGCAGTGGAGACCATTACACCAGGCTGCTCCAAGGTTGATCTCCAGGTCATTGCCGTCTCAGCTGTCTGCAGCAATGCCCACAACCGTAGGAGGAAGGTCAATGTCCTGTCTACAATCCGTCAGCATCTTCTCTCACCCTCACCCTCACTCGATCTCCGCTCCTGTACCCACCGCCCATCAAGGCTCATGCTCTACCACTGTCCAATGTTGCCCCATGCTTGTAGTCACCCACCCTGCTAACCCTCTACTCAGCCAACTCACTCGTTCGGGACACCCTCCCCACCGACACCAGCACTAACAGCTGCGCCACCCACTTTCATCTCCCGTAATCCCTGCCTGTGCCTCATTCCAGGAGGAAAAGAGCCCCCAACAGTTCTTGGTCAAGATAGCTGGTGGGCCCCTTGACATTTGGCTCCTCACCCTTTGTAGAACGTGGAAACAAGGAGCAGGAGTAGGCCACTTTGAGCTTGCTCCACCATCCAAAGATTCTTTTTCTCAATGCCATATTCCCACTTTCTCCCCATGCTACTTGACACCACTAAAATCTAAAAATGCACCTCTCTCTTTCTTGAGTACATACAGTATCTGGGCTTCCACAAACTTCTGAGATAGAAAATTCTACAGGTTCACTATCCTTTGAGTGAAGAATCTTTCCTCACCTCAGTCATAAAGGGTCTACACTGTATCCAGAGACTGTGGCCCCCGATTCTACACTCCCCAACCAGGGAAATCATCCTCCCTGCATCTAGTTTGTTAAGCCTTGCTAGGATTTTATACATTTCAATCAGATCCCCCGTTATCCTTCTAAACTTCGGGGAACACAGGCCCAATCAAATCAATCTCTCCTCCTCGGACATGCTCCGGTATCAGCCTAGTGAACATCCACTGTGCTGCCTCTATGGCAATTATATCCTTTCTTAGGTAGAGACCAAAATTGCACACAATACTCCAGGCATGGTCTCACCAAGGCTCTATAACTACAGTAAAACATCCCTGCTTTTGAACTCAAAACCTCTTACAATGAAGGCCAACTGTGTGATGCACCCGCCTGTAGTTCGTTGACTGGAATACCTGGACACTTATCGTCCATAAAAACCAAAAGAACTATGGCTGCTGAAAATTAGAAATGAAAACAGAAGTTGCTGGTAAAGCAGGTCTGGCAGCGCCCATGAAGAGAAATCAGAGTTAACATTTCAGCTCCGGTCACCTTTCCTCAGAACTGACGGTAGCTGGGAAAATGTCGGTTTATATGCAGAAGATAGGGTAGGGGGAGGGGGTAAGGAGTAAACGATAGGTGGGAATAGAGCCCAAAAAGAAAGAAGAACAGTTGGACAGACAAAGGAGTTGATAACGATCTGGCTAGGAGGGTGAATAGCTGTTAATGGAGACTGTTAATGGCTAACAATATGTGTAATGGCAGACTCTTGGATAACAAGGCCTGGTGTGTAGAGATTGGGGTAAGGACATGGGAGACCTCAAGCTCTTAAGTTGTTGAACTCGACATTGAGTCCAGAAGGCTGCTATTCACCCAACAAGATAGATAATAATTCACTGCTTTGTCTGTCCAACTGTCCCCCTCTCTCTTTGGGGCTCTATCCCTACCCATCGTTTACTCCTTACCCCCTCCCCCCACCATATCTTATGCATATAAACTGACATTTTCCCAGCTACCGTCAGTTCTGAGGAAGGATCACTCGACCTGAAACGTTGACACTGATTTCTCTTCAGAGATGCTGCCAGACCTTGCTGAGCTTTTCCAGCTGTTTCTGCTTTTTGCACCTTTCCCTCATGTTTGCTGTTACTGTATGGCCAATAACAGGCTATACGTGTCAGCTGGAAACACCGGTGATATAATGGTGGTGGTAATGGGTGAACGTTGCCACAGGTTATTTATTGGTGGTGGAAGAAGCAATTTGGCTGCGAAAGATAGCACTTCCAGATGCAAACAGAGAAAAAGATGCCCAGAGCCCTTTGAGCATCCACCCTTCCCAATTTATCACCACTGAAGTAATACTCTCCCTTTCTGATTTCACACCAAAATGAACGACCTTTTTCCACGTTGCACTGCTTCTGTCAAATGGAGGTAAGGCAAAGGGGCAATGGTCAACCTGCCATCGTGAGTAACTGCCTGTGGTCATTGCCTTGGATGGTTTAGACAGCACCGACCCCAAAATAACGTCTATCAAGGCAGAAAGGGTGGGGAGAGACAGGCTTCCAGATGGCAGCAGAGTAGGACGTTCCAGTCAGAGCTCCTCTTCTCTGCCTTTTTCTCCTTTTTGTCCTCCTTTCTTAAGCGTTTTTCTTTAAACTTGTAACTTTTACTTTGAGGGGAATGGAGGAGGCTGGCGGAGGGAGGCAAGTCTCTGACTGGAGGCTGTCGCAGGGAGGCAGGCCCCAGGGCAGAGACCGTCGCAGGGAAGCAGGCCCCAGGGCAGAGGCCGTCGCAGGGAGACAGGCCCCAGGCCGGAGGCTGTCACGGGGAGGCAGGCCCCAGGCCGGAGGCCGTCGCAGGGAGGCAGGCCCCAGGGCAGAGGCTGTCACAGGGAGGCAGGTCCCAGGCCGGAGGCCAGCGCAGGGAGGGAGGCCCCAGGCCGGAGACTGGCGCGGGGAGACAGGCCCCTGAGACGAGTTCCAGGCCGGGAGCTGTTGCGGGGAGGCGAGTCCCTTGCGGACTGAGGGGAGGCCTTGCGTTTTGAAGCCCGGTGTGGTCTGGAGACTCGGCCCCGTGCAGATGGGAGGCCAGGTGCTGGCACGGACTGGGGTGGAAAGGGGCTGTATTTCGAGTATTTACTTTTTCCATTTTCCTCTCATGCTTGAATTTTATTTATTATCCTTTCAATTTTGTACCAAATACTTCAGTATCTGCAGCAAACTCTTCACTGCCCTCGTTCGCATGCACGAGACAGTCAAGCTAATTCAATTCAATTCAGTTATCAGCAAGGGGATCCAGGGGAACAAGTATCCATCTTCTTGGAAGAAGACCAGCCATTCCCTACACCAGCTCAAGGGAGAACGAAGACACTGACGCCATTTCAAAACCACCAACCGCACCCTCTGTTCTACAAGACAGCTTCAGGATCAGTGATAACAAGGTGTAGGGCTGGATGAACACAGCAGGCCAAGCAGCATCATAGGAGCAGGAAGGCTGACATTTCGGGCCTAGACCCTTCATGGTTTCATCTAAAGCGGTCGCACACTTTATTTGCCTAATCAACTGAAGTACCATATCTAAACTGCTCCTTACCAAACTCCAGAAGCAATCAGAAGATCCGCTACGAGCCATCGGCAGCCAGTGTTGGGGAATCGTGATCCCCTGAGACCAACAGTGGTGTCAGGAGTGGGATATCACAGACATCATTTTGAGAAGCTGAGAAGCTTCGAACATAGCTAAACGCATGTTGAGTAATTGTGAAGTAAGCCAATGGCTTTTACATCTACTGGTTATCGTGAAAACGGAGATGGCTGGAGCAAAAGATAGATTTGGAATTAGGTTTCATCATCATGCATACTCGAGTGCACGGATGCAGGAGTACAGTGAAAAGCTTAAAATGTCATCATTCATGGCCGCATCTTAGGTACAAGGGTACATAGGTACAAAATCTGAGGTTATAAGAAGTAGAAAAAGAAAGAAGTTAAAAGTTCAACATTACAGTCCTCCTCAGTATAAAAATAATAAATAAGAAATAAAGTTAAAAGTCCCAAATTACAGTCCTTCTTTAGACCTGCA